TTCAAATGTTATGCACGCAAGTCAAAAGCTCAATAAATACCATGATGTTTTTTTCACCGGACGTATACTGCTGGCTGTGTGATTAAACCTTTTAAATGGAAATTTGTCACATTGCGCCATATTTTGAAGAAAAAATTGTGGAATGCCCTTTTGCGGTCGATCTATGACACGGGATGAAACATGGACGTCTTCCTTCGGGGCAGTTGTAACAACATGCCCCATCTTCTGACATATATGTAATATACATATGTATGTGTGTGTGCACATTTATACTATTGATGTTGTCTTTTCACTGTGTGCCTTGTACTCTCCATGAAATGGAGGAAATAAAGAAGGTCTATCTATCTATCTATCTATCTATTTTCCCTAAGAATTCTGTCCCTGGGTCTTTAGGTCCAATTCTTTTCTCGCCAGAAGTTGTTTTCCATTCCCGAAAGCAAAAGAAATTAAAGAACAAACCAGAACCAAAATCAAAACGTCTGGCGTTTAAACAAAAGAGGAAGCCCGTTAAGTGCCATTGTGGCTGTGATTCTGATTCTGAAATAAACATTTGCTTGGTTTGTTGCGACAAGTTTTCAAATAGTCGTCCAGTTGAAGAATGGGTACAGTGTTCTTCATGCAAGTATTGGGCCCATGAAGAGTGTTCATCAAAACAAGGATTCTTCACTCGTCAGAGCTGTCAATCAGATGACGATGAATGACGAATGAACATTAGGTTCCTGTTTTAAAAATCGTTGAAAAGCATTTACAAGTGATACACATGGGAAGAGAATTATGGATGTTTAAACAAAGTAAATCAGTTTAATAGTTCCATTTTGGTGTATTTTCAACATTAAACAGTGTGTTAATTTGACCATTGTGTTACATTTGATACATCCACTCGTTACTATTGAACCATTATTTGGTGCTATTGTAACACTTGCTAGCATCGCCTTTCTTCTGAATAATTATGTAAAGGCGCGACATGGAGCCTCAAACGATACTGAATTTTTAAAGCCACTATGATGATGTTTCAAGTAGCATTAACTTACTTGACAAGAGTGTTTCCGGTATTGATTTCCATTGATATAAGTTGCCGTGTTACATTTGTCTCCGGTCTCCCCTAACGCCTTGACGTATCCCTGTTATAATGGATGTGCACGTGGCCGAGGTGTGGGTGTGGATGCCGTGTTGGTGACACCCTGATGACGTGTACAAGAAGAGTGTAGCCCTGTCCTGCAGGTAGCATCCGCCACTCACACAATTTGCATAAAAAGGAAGTGTTTGTTTGTAGCCTTACGCCGCACAGCAGCACTGCCATAACGTCGACGACCTGAAAACAACTGAATAATGAATACTAGACAGTTATTGTGTTGGTAACCAGGCAATCCAGTGACACGATAGCGCGTTTACAGATTTGGGTAAAACTAAACTCGATATGTTAATTACACTTGCTGCGTACAAGTTGCAGAGAAATATATTCATTTTACAACACAGTAGGGAGTATGGGGAGTGTGGGGGCGGGAGGGGTGCTTTTAGGGGCAGTTTTAATAGGTCTCGACTCTTCTAGCTGACTCAGCATAATTGTTAAATTCTTCTGGGATTATGATGAAACTCCCCGCGTGGTCATCGACGACCATTCAAATAAATATTAAACGTCAACGTCAGAGAATAAATGAAGTCACAACAATCAGGCTTGTCATAAGTGATTCAGCCTCAAGGGGAATAACTGCTGTGAGGTAAGAAATAAATGAAGCGCTATTAACAGTGTAAGTCGTTCTTCTGTTCCCGGTTGTGGACGCAGATATCAGCGGTCGATCAGTTAGGCTGTTGATGCCAATATCAACCGTTTGTGGATCAGACATAAAATCTAATATACTCTGCAAACCGGAAAAATAACGAGCTACGTATCAAGTGGTAAAAAATATGTCGATGTTGTGTTGATGCAGGTGCCAGTATTTACCCTGAAGATGCCATATTTATCTTATATTTCACATTACATGTTGTGTTGGTTTACAGAAGATTAAAGGGAATCTATAAAAACTCGATAATTGAAAGAACATAATATTTATTTAGGTTGTTTCGTTTAGAATTAAAGAATATCGCTTTGGGGTAGTGTAAAATTCTGAAATACCGAAATGGCAACGATAATAAAATGAAATGGAACGAACATATGACGTGTGTTGCTGACTCCTGTAATACAATCAGCGGACAAGTAACAAGAGGGCGCTGATCTACCGCCAGCGCAAACAAAATTGAATATTCTTTCTAATATGTGTTACACGTGGTGGTATAGAATTAATACTTCATTATTTCATGAACGCATTTCGAGAATTATCATTTTTGCAGGTTACATGTTATAAACACTTTCTTTCCTTTTCAGTATTTCTAAACAATACGTAGTGAGTGAGTGAGTGAGTGTGGTTTTACGCCGCTTTTTGCAATATTCCAGCAATATCACGGCGGGGGACATCAGAAATGGGCTACACACATTGTACCCATGTCGGGAATCGAACCCGGGTCTTCGGCATGACGAGCGAACGCTTTAACCACTAGGCTACCCGACCGCCCCCTTAACAATACGTATGTATGAATGAACTATATTGACTACATACTTTGTAACTTGTGATTATTTGACTTTTATTGATACTAAACATAGAATTAATAATCTAATTAAAGCGACAAAACCCTTTCCATATCCAATAGACATCTCTGCATAAAGCAGAGTCGATTGTACGATTCCGACTATATCATGAGCATGTGTTTATGAATCACTATCAAATAGTAATGATACCAGGTGTTCGCGAAAAGGCGAGCGTATCCTGCCCCACCGGTAGCACCCGTCACAAACACATGCAAGGCTAGTTATGTATGTTTTTCTTTTTTAAACAAATAGATAAATCCGCGACGAATTAAACAACCGTATCACACTAGGGGAGTTATATCTCATTATTGATAAAATAAGGCCATCCATCCATGTTAGGTTGTGTCACTCATCTTCATGCTCTGATAGGGGGCACGGGTGGCCCAGTCGTCTAAGGCACCGCGATTCGCTGTGCAGAGTTGCGTCCCTTGGGTACGCCAGAAATCTATGATTGTGGGTTCGAATCCAGGTTCGCCCCGATTATGTTTCTAGGTTTGTCAGCACCATACCCGTGCTCGTGGGTTTCACCGAAGTGGTAAACATCTGAGACCTGCATCACCTCGGGCTTTCCTCCCACATTAAGCTGACACCCCGTGATATAACTGTAATACTGTTAAAAGTGGCATTAAACCCAACTCACTAACACTCATGCTCTGATAGCTGCAGAGAGAGGGGCTAGAGGGGGACGAACATGAATAAAAAAGTAAGTAAAAAACTAGCTCCCGGAAAGAATACCACTAACAACGAGTGTTGTTTAAGACATTTGCGAAACTGGAACACAATTCAGTCGTCATTGTGCTTGACGTTGAAATATTGCTGTCAGTGTTAAAAGTTCTGAAAACGTAACAAGCGGAAGGATTTGATAAGAAGAAATACAAGGCAATGCACAGAGTTCACTCACTGTCTGTGTATAAGACTTTTTATGAAACGGGAAATACGTTTTTTTCCAGGCAGAGGTCATTTATATTCAAGCTTGTGAATATAAAAAAGAAGTTTTTACGGGTAATTTAGCACAGGTGGGAGAGAACAGAAACATTATCTACCGAACACTGTGACAAGAACAAAAGCTAATTCCCTACACATCAACTGACGCACTAGGTTTTGTCTGCCGATAATCAACGCTGGAATGAGTACAGGTGTTGCTATCGCTAACTATGTAAGTATCCCGCCCGGCCTGGCGTGCTCAGGGCTTCAACGTGCCCACTGAGATGCCATACCGCAGTTCTAATTTTTGTACCACACTCAGACACAGTATATTGACTCCGGGCCGAACAGTCCTTCTTTTATCCCCTTAATGCCAAGCTAGGCAGGGTACCAACAGACATCACCCTTTTTTATATGAAGCGGTCGGGAATGGAACCACCCACCTTACGCTCTCCTCTCAGACGCACTATCTTTGCTTGTTTGTTAACGTCGCACTAAGCAATATTCAAGCTATATGATAGCCTTCTGTATATAATTGAGTCTGGACCAGACAATCCAGTGATTGACATCATGAGCATCGATCCACGCAACTGGGACACGATGTCATGCATCAACCAAATCAGCGAGCCTGACCACCAAATCCCGTTAGTCGCCTCTTACGACAAGTATAGTCGTCTTTTACGACAAGCATGGGTTGCTGAAGACCCATCCTTACCCGTATCTTCACGGGTACCTACACGGAAAGGAAACAATCGACCGATACCAGAAGAATTCAAGACCTTAAGTCACATGTGAACTAAATACAACGAACTAAAATTCCCTTTTTGTACACGACACTAGTGTTATAGACCAGCTAGGAAGTGTGTGCTGAACATTCAGTGACGCTAAAAATAGCACGATAATTTGCGCCTAGTTTGGGGTTAAGCAGCGTTTCGAATGAACTCTTGATGATTACCTTTAACGTCAGTTGGTTTGCCTGTAGTGGTAGACTGCAAAACAGCCAATCAGCACACCCGGTTTGCTTATTACACAATGAGGACGGGAATATTTCGGTTAAATCATGGCATGGTGCTTTAATGTGGGAGGAAAGTCGGAAATGATTGAGGTCGTAGACTTCTACCACTTTGGTGAAACCAACGAACACAGGCATGGTGACAAACCTGGAATCATAATCATAATACGGGCGAGGATTCAATCAAAGGATCACGTCCACTTACTCCCTGCAATACAATATGGTGTGATGTGCATGTAAATAATCGAACCATATGCTTACATATTCCTTTGAAGTTTTCACAATTCAGCCTCACACATGTAAAGCAATACAAAAGCTGTTTGGGATCGACATATTAAAAGTCAGGTCCATATAGTAAACTGCTAATAAAGCATAAGCCACCAATAAACTACAAGCGTCAACAGATAAGCCTGTTTAGACCAGGCACACGCCATGCCCGTGAAACGTTGGTGCTTGTCGCTCCAGTACCACACAGGGCTAGAGCCTATGAACGCTCAGTGTGTGTGGCGTGGGGGTCTAGCGGTAGTCAGCCATTGCCGAGCACCGCAGTGGAATCAAATCAATGCAACACCGTGGAATGAAAACTCATTAAGGGACATAGCACAGCGAGAGGGTACAGTTAGAAACACGCATGGACGGATGAAGTGATGGCGGGCACTGGAAACAACTGGCGGACGATGGTGGATTGGATCTACCACACGAAGTCGTGTTTGCCAACAAACGAACCTAATTTAACTTTCTGGAAGTGTAACGGCGTGGATTCCTCTCTTGATGTTGTACAGCCTTGTGGGTTTATGTGAGGTGTGATAATCACTGTGTTTCATATGCACCATTATTAACTGACGGTTCTGCTTGCCAAATGTCAGACCTAACATATGTGACACATCGCCAAGCAGTTGACCTATAGGAAATGCGATGTAGACACCCACGACCCGGATATAAAACTGTTTTTAACAATGTTACATAACGTTATATATCATATTATAAAAACTAGTTTGGGGAATCATGTCTGTGTGTGAGCTCATACCATCAAAACGGATATACTAGAGACATTGTTCTTTGGTTGACATACGGGTCTTAACAATCTGAAAATGGCAGTGTATCATCTGGTCAAGTGTCACGTGGTGACCAAGTTACGTGTCTTTCTTTGCATCTCCATCTTCGGACTAGTCAACGCAACTTCAGAAGCTTTTAGACTTGGTAAGTACATTAATTTTAAACATAAGGTATTAAATACTGGTATGGTATATATGTATTATTTAATATGTATTATTTATTATGCATCCCTTGGTTGCGTTATAAGAGTAATTGTGATGAAAAATTCTTTTCATTGGCCAGCAGCTGACGTTATTGATCCGTACATGACGTGATGATATAGATAAACATGTATGGTTTACAGATCACTTTTGAACTAGGGTATTGTTGTTGTCCTTCAAATCATTAATCTATTACATATACCACGAACGACATATTTCTATTATGCAACAGGAGCTATAGTATCGTTATTTTTTACACAACCTTTTAACAGCTTGAAATTGAATTACACTCAGTGTTGTTAACATCATTAGACGATAAAGTCAGTTCAGTATTTACTGATTCTCACCTACAGGAAACGTCAACTACCATTTATATATGAATCCGTTCCACCCCAAGCATACTTAAGCTATTGTACATATTATTGACGACTATTCACAATATTAAGGCAAACACTAGTACTTAATTTCTCAAACTAAGTTCAGTTGACTTACCATACCTTTATACCGGTTATCTCGAAATACTGTTATCTCGAAATAAAAGAACCACCTGTAGATAGTATATGTTTTATTCAGCCTAATTCAATGTAAAGCCTCATGAATTCTCTATTCGTGTATATGTATTTATGTCGTACATACGTTTTCAGCAACCCATGCTTGTCGTAAGAGGCGACTAACGAGATCGGGTGGTCAGGCTCGCTGTTTTGGTTGATACATGTCATCGTATCCAAGTTGCATAGATCGATGCTCATGGTGTCAATCACTGGATGGTCTGGTTCATATAGCTGAAATTTTGCTGAGTGTGGCTTTAAACAAACAAACAAACAACAAAATATCCTGCATACAAAGATAATCGTATAGTAGCTTATTCGTATATTTTAAGCCCTTTATTTGGAATGCATTGGATAATATACAAAGTGTATATTTACTTCGACTCTTTTACCTTCCTCATAAGGTGGCATTTGTTTAGGCCAGTCGTTAAAGTGTTCGCTCTTCACAACGAAGACCCCGGTTCGATTCGCACAAGGGTAAATTGTGTGGAGTCAGTCCTTGGTGGTCCGTCATGATATTGGACTGTTATTAACTGCTGCGTAAAACTATACTCCTTCACTCACTCGACATAACAGCATTTTCGTTTATGTGAACACGTATATCTAGGCGAAAATCCACAATGACGAATAAATTGGGTCATACAGTGCATCCTCTTTCTTATGGCAGCATTATACCAGTTGATACCCTGGCATTATAATCCATCTGACATTAATGCCAAGTTAGTGTACCATGAATTAGTACACATGTCAAACATACATGAAGAAGTAGATCACTATCAAAGTAACACCTACAAGGCAATGACGCAACGTGTGTCTAATCGTTTACCTGGACCAGAGGTGCTTGGGAAACGTGTGACAAGGACATAAACTATCTGAGTGAGTGGTATAAGACATTTTAGTGAGTGGTATAAAGCATCTTAGTGAGTGGTATAAAACATCTTAGTGAGTGCTATAAAACCATCTTAATGAGTGGTATTAAACACATCTCAATAGTATATACCATCTTAGTAAGTGGTATCAAAGCATCTCGGTGAGTGGTATAACACACCTTAGTGGGTGGTATAACACACCTTAGTGAGTGGTATAACACACCTTAGTGAGTGGTATAACACACCTTAGTGAGTGGTATAAACATCTCAGTGAGTGGTATAAAACATCTTAATGAGTGGTATAAAACCATCTTAATGAGTGGTATTAAACACATCTCAATAGTATATACCATCTTAGTAAGTGGTATCAAAACATCTCGGTGAGTGGTATAAAACATCTTAGTGAGTGGTATAAAACTATCTTAGTGAGTGGTATAAAACATCTTAGTGAGTGACACCTTAGTGAGTGGTATAACACACCTTAGTAAGTGGTATAAAACATCTCAGTGAGTGGTATAAAACATCTTAGTGAGTGATATAAAACATCTTAATGAGTGGTATAAACACATCTCAATAGTATATACCATCTTAGTAAGTGGTATCAAAACATCTCGGTGAGTGGTATAAAACATCTAAGTGAGTGGTATAAAACATCTCTGTGAGTGGTATAAAACATCTTAGTGAGTGGGATACTAATGTCACAGTCAGCGAACACGGCGACATGTAGATGATCGAGTCTGGACCAGACAAACCAGTGATTGAAAACATAAGCAGCGATCCACGCCATCAGTGCACGATGACACACACTAAGCCAGGACAAGTCGATGGCATTATAGTGAGGTAATCCGTTCTTGTGACCAGTGTAACCAGTTTCGTATTATAAGCAAGGCCAAGCTGAAGATGATATGCTATATATACAATCTTTATACGTGTACTTCAAATAGTGTACACATATAGCCTGAAGAACCAATTTAAAGTAGATAATTACAAAGCATTCATGTTATTTCCCCGATGATATTCTGTTTGAGAACTGTGTGAACTTTACATAACCCAACGGAAGTACAATAAACCCTTAATTACTTAATAGATGGAGAAATAATGACACTCGTACGAACTATGCCATTGAATAATGAGTTTTGTGTCACCCAACCTCGGTATTAATTTCATTGCATGGCATTTGACTAATGATTGTCATTGCATCTCACGAGGAATAGATCCGGATCAGAATTGGCCTTCACCAACCCATGCTTGTCTCAAGAGGCTCGCTGACTTGGTTGATTCATGTCATCGTATCCCAATTGTGTAGATCGATGCCCATGATGCCAATCATGACACTGGATTGTCTGGTCCGTCATATAGCTGGCATATTGCAGTGTGGCAAGCTGCAGACAAGCTAATAAAACACAAGGAATGGAGCCCCGAACCAGCAAGGAGTGAGAAATAATAATTGCTAACACATTCTTACACAGACGTACAGCCAAAGGGAAACTAAATTTTGTAGGGCAGAACACCCGGTGTCTCACAGATTTTCAGTGATCCATTTACAAACTTTTCACACTAATTTGTTTCTTTTATCGCCCAGTGGAATCTGTTTATGCGGATACATTCTGGCGTTGACGTTTTAAATTTGCAAAGAGGACATCCTACGGTTTGAAGTTGAGGTTTCAGAGGCAATGGTACTGTGACCCAGGTTAACAGTTGACACCCCCCCCCCCTCCCCCCCGCCCCTCCCCCCCCCCCCCTCCCCCTTCCCCCAACTCACACACACACCTTCCCCAAACCCCATGGTTACAATGATCAGGGCTCCACACAATGCTGAGCACCAAGTAACAATCAGCTGTCCGTGTCAGATACATCCCCAGCGTACGATACAGCAATACAAATAGGAGGTGCAGCCAATTTTGACCAAACCATGATATGCTAATATGGTATTCGTAGAGACGGCTTTGGTAATTATTTGTGCTTATCTACGAATTTGTCCCGTTATTTTACAAAATAATCGATTTTCGGAGCAAAATTGTCGATTTCACTGCAGTGTAATTCAAGGTAGTTTTAGAGTATCAAATCTCTCGTCCTACAGTATGATTGAGAGAGGTTTGAATCTCTACTAGTCAAAGAGCCATTTCAGGAAATTTCAGTTAAATCAAAATTTTAAGTTGTTCGAGAATGCACGTCAAAGTTACCGCTCGTCATCAGGTAGTGAACATACTTCATCGACGACAGTTAAAAAAATAGTGATAAAACCCTGATTTTCACTTTCTCAAAAGTATAAAGTTTTATGTTAAAGAGAAATATTTGCCCGTAGCTATTACGCGGAGATCATGTATGGTGCTCTTAGCGTTGATCAACACCTGCATCTCTTGTTGAAGAGTTGATATTGTAAGCATGTTCAATTATCCCTCTCAGACATCAGTGTCATAAAAAAAATCGAACTGTTTACACATCAACACCTTTTAACTTTTATTATTTTTGTAAACATACATGTATATTATTTTTTTTATTTATATACAACATCAGTTTACATATGCGTGTCATATTGATTTGTACGCAACCCTGTGATCAGTATATTGATAATATACAGGTATTTGGCGTGTTCAAGTCCCTTGAGGGAGCTGTTAGGAAGCTCAGATTGTGTCGGGTCTATACTCTACTGATAGGTAGTTGTAAGGTAAACAGTTCTATACAGTACTATCAAATGGCAATATTTGATGCGTTTAATGTGCGGAACCACGGCAGAAATCACTAATCCCTCTTGGGATATGGCAATCGCCATTACTGAACGTTGCGGGACTCTCTCTCTCTCTCTCTCTCTCTCTCTCTCTCTCTCTCTCTCTCTCTTTCTCTCTCTCTCTCTCTCTCTCTCTCTATCTATCTACCTATCTACCTCACCTCTTTCTGTCTTTTTGTCTTCTGGTCTCTGTGTCTACATTTAACTCCCCCTCTCTCTATCTGTATTTCTCTCTCTCCCATCTCTCCCACCCTCTGTCTCTCCCTGTCTCTCTCCCACACACTCTCTCTCTTTCTATCTATCTCACTCTTTCTCTCTTTTTGTCTTCTGATCTCTATGTCTACATTAAACTCCCCCTCTCTCTGTGTCTGTATTTCTCTCTCCCATCTCTCCCACCCTCTGTCTCTCCCTGTCTCTCTCCCACACACACTCCCCCTCTCTCTCTTTCTATCTATCTCACTCTTTCTCTCTTTTTGTCTTCTGATCTCTGTGTCTACATTTAACTCCCTCTTTATTTCTCTCTTATCTCTCTCTCTCTCTATCTATCTATCTATATATCTATCTATCTGTCGTTACCATGACGTCACAATGAAGTAGCATCACCAATCTCTCTGCTTCTGAAGCTGGTTAGCAGTACTTTTTACACTTTGGCCACTGCTTTTTACTGTTTACAGTTTGAAGAATGATGTTGGATGATAAATGGAATCTCATTCTTGTGTCTTTTGATATCAAATATATCAGCACTTGTCAATAGAAGTGTAAAACCCCTCGGCAAGCCTCGGACGTTAAACGGTTATAG